CCCGAGACACTGTGCTTTCATCTGCAGGTCTGAGCGCACCGCTCGGAGGGACAGGTGCACTTAAAAAAATCTGCATGGAAGATCACAGTATTTAAAACTGTTCTGGGGAGATCGGGGGGGGCAGGGGGGGGGGGGGTTGCCCATCAGAAATTCATGGCTAGTGGCAACTTCCAAGAAGCTTTTTAAGCAAACACTGACCTCAGCTTTACCCAGGTCTGTTGACATGCACCGTACAATATGCTACTAGGATGTTCCACACAGTGACATCGAAGAAGTACACAAAACAGAGGTTGGGTACTGGTCCAAAAAAGTAACTGTAAAGTCAACTTTTTACTTCAAAATAAGACAAAAGCATTTGATAAGCACGTCATCCAATTACAGTGTAAAAAAAAAAAGAAATTTCGTCAAGGAGTCCAGCCAGAAAAAAATACTACACCATCTTCCTAAACCCAACCCTCTGTCGGTGGCGCCCCCAAGCGGCCACCCTTAAAGACTGCCAGCCATTGTGCCTTGTTGTGCTTGCCTGTACTTATAAAGGAGATACACTATATATATATATATAAAAGCATACACCAAAATACTATTATTAAAGTGTTACGTTCCAGGGTATGTTCCAAAAAGAAAACAATCCTGTTTTTCAGAGAGAGATTTCCACCGTTACCACCTCACACCAAGATCCAGGAGGCAAAGAATAAGATAGTAGCTAAAAATGAGAAGTACAAGGAGTACAAAGAGAAGTACACCCTTCCTTGCAGTACCGTATTACCCCTAATGTGTATTAGCCCAAACATGGCAGTGGCAGGCTGTTTATCCTTATCTTCCTTCTCATAATGGCGTCTCACTTTTGCTGCACGGTCAGTTTTTTAATTGGTACCAGTGTGGGATCTTAACAGCTCTTTTCTGTTAGCGCCACACACACACACACACACACACACACACCCCCTCCATTCCTCTCTCCTTTGGTCATTTCTCCACCTGACACATCCCTGAGTCTTCTCCCCTCTCTCAAACCATAAAGATGATGGCCCTTGTATTTTCTCCTGCGCGCAGAGGAAAAAGAAGGCAAAGCTCCCGCTCTTAATTCCAGCCGAGCAGAAGATAAAGAACAGGGACGGTTAAGCTTTGTCAACACGGAGACAAAAAGAAAAAAAACTTCAAGAGATAAAACAGAATGAAGGAGAACTTAAAGCAGGGGCCGTGAATATACTGCTCCTACTCCTGAGAGACGCCGGTCTATGAAACTCACGGACAGGAAATTAAATATAAAGGAGCCTGACCACTCCAGAGGTGCACAAAGGCAATGAAGAAGAAACTCCTCTGCTGTATTTCCATTAAGGACAACTATATGAACACCAGCTTATGCTGCTGTCTGAGAATATCTCCATTTTCAGTAATAATCCCGGTGCAACAAAGAAATAGAAACTCCAAAGAAATACGGTCTTTTTTATTTTAGGCGTTGGTTCCTAAGGGGATGGTGAGGTGGAAAGATTCCAGAATGTGGCAACCTGCTGCAATATTTATGCAACATGACTCTCGGTTCACCTGTTAGACCTGAACTCCGGTGTTACTTCACACCAAATTTCATAACACAGGATGCTGCAAGTGAGAAACTATCCTGGGAATGAGTCACGTTGTTTTGCCAAAAGAGATAAACTCTGTAGAGCGGGGGTGTCAAACTCATTTTTAGTTCAGGGGCCACATTCAGCCTGATTATCTGTCAAGTGGGCCGGACCAGTACAATCAGAACATGATTCCTTATAAATAACAATAAGTACATGTTTTTCTCCATTGTTTTCGTGCCAAATTAGTTCAAGTTTATTGGAAAAAATTAATATTTAATAAAATATAATTTGACAAAAAGATCACAACTGGATACTGGATATAATATCCTGATTATCAATAGATCAATAAAATGAGCTGCAATGCTGCCCTCTAGTGACTAGAGGCTTGTTTATCGTTTATATTGTTCTATTAATGTGTTATGAAGGGGTTAACAGTTACAAGTATGGTGTATGAGGAAGAGAGTGCGGAGAGAACGAGTTACAGATCGATAGATCGATCGATAGGGGCCAAAATTGCCATCCCTGCTGTAAAAGACCACAAGTTATCACAGAGAATCAAACCAGCGACGTTCCTGCTGTAAGGTGCGAACGCACTAACCCTTCCAGCGGTGGCTTACACATTCTCCTGTATAATTTTCAATGGACTGTCCAGTTTCCTCACAGCCCTCATAAACCGCCATTAGGGTTTAAGTCAGGTGAAGAAGGTAATGTCATTACTCTGTCATATAGGCGGCCTCTGATGGCCAGCAAAGCACCGAAATGATTGGATGTACGAGATGGAGACGTGCCGTGCATATTAAAATCAGAGTAATCAAGACTCACGGCCACCTTGAGAAATACAGACTACTTCCTGTACTTGTGAATGAAGGAAATATCTTATAATAGATATTATAATATAATATCAGAAGTTTTCATCAGACTAAGTGACAGTTAGCAGAAGCAGAACACGGCAACTACATCTTTGATTCGACCTATGGCTGTGTGTGTTTGTAGATTTGTATCTTGTAAGTCAGGAGTTACAACTTTTTTGTATCTTGGGAATAGAACATAGATCCTCACCTTGGCTTTGTCTCTGGGCCTTGAAAACACCCTGGGAAAGCACTGGATAAACGGGGAAATGTCTGGGGAAATAATTTGTGAAAGAATCATGTCTTTGGCATTTAATTTGAGTCTTTTCTTCTCCGCAGTGTTGTAACTCACCTCAGTTTCATCGTAACTCCAGTAGAGTTCCATTTCTCCAAAAAGGCTTTTGTCTTTTTATTGTTTGCTCAATCTTTTTTGGCCCGTTTTAAGTGAGGTAAAGAAGCAACGTTATATTTATGCACACCTTCAGAATGGGAGTTAATCACTTTGGGCCACTTCTCCCTAATTAGGCAAATATATATCACCTGGGAGGGCTTCCATTATAGCATGTAGGGTTTCATAGCCTTTAGAATGTACATACTTTAAGTGAAATGTATTT